ATAGGTACTTCTGGGGAAATCTAAATTATGATATTGATTGGGTGGTCATGGTGATTTTACAGCCATGATTCGATACCTTGTTGGTTGGCTTAATCAAGAAGCTGTTCGGTACGGTGGACACCAGGTTAGTGGTGAATAATATATTTTTCTTCCCAAGTGCTGACTCCATCTTATTTTCTTCCGAATCCTTGAACTCACATGCTTATTTACTTTCATTGTCGATAGCTTGATCTTCCATCAGATAGGTAGGCGTTCCTTTTCAGTTATTCATTTCTCTTTGATTTACTAGTACTCATTCGATTCTCTATGAATTTGGCAGCCGATTTCAGATATCTAGATTCTGGGTTGCCGCTCGCTTTCCGGACTATCACGATGGGTCTGAATGGCAGCCGTTGAGCGCTCACATGCATGACAGTGAGGCGCAATTACTTGGATTCAATCCAAAGAACCAAAAACTTGTTGAAATGTGGAGTGTTGAGAGAGACGATTGGTGATTGACGGCGGCTTCATTGTGTATACTGCACGTTCCTGCGCCGACTCTAAAAATGCTTTGATGAAGTTAGAGTTGGTCAGAGGAAGATGTTTCGATCTCATCATAGAGGGGATTTGTTTGACGTGACCAATGGTATCCCAGATTTCCTGATCACCAGAAAAGTGCACCTTTCCCATTAACATACGATGTTAAAAGTTATGTTCATCAAAGCATTCGATAGTTAGTGCGTGCTGAGCATCCTTGTCGGTGTGAACCCGGGCTCGAAATCCAATACATTTACCTGCAATACAGGGGTCAATTACATTCCCAAAAACGACCCACGATTTCTCAGTGGGCTTCTCGTCGGCGTTTGTATACAGCAGACAGACATTCACATCCACATTCACTGTAGATCCATCACAGAAAATATCTGAGTGCTTAGGTAGGAGTGAAAAAAGAGAGTACACACGCGGAAGGTCTCAACGTTTTTGAAGGACGATCGTGGTGGGTTCATCCCTGGGAGACAATGGGATGGCAACCACAGCACTAAGAAGCGTGGCGAGAATGATGATCATGGCGAACGAACGCGACCAAAATGGTATGAAGAGCAACATGCAAGTGATTTTTAGGTGTTCGTGGAAAGGGTACTACTAGTATGGAATGGTCATGATGATATCAGAACCAGGAAATCATTGAAGAAGAATAAGTTCCGAATGCGTACGAGACACACACAACGACGGTGCAGGTGTTTTGCGATCGGATAGAACTGTGTAGAATGGCGATAACTCAGACGGACGTGTGTACGAAGTGAGATGGAAAAAGCGAGGTAGTTGTACCTGTGTGATGAAGTTGCAAGTCAAAAAAAAGTCGAGGGTGAGGGAAGCGTTGAGAACGTCGAGGGTTGTTAGAGAAGTAAAGGTCGAACACGTTACTTTGCGAAAACATTCTGATGAGGCTAGCCGCTAAGGAAAGAAAGAAAGACGTACGAGTATAGAGGGTAGCGTAAAAGTCTTCTTTTTGCCGGCAGAGAGATTTTTTTTTTCGGTCGGATTCCACTAAGTTGGGGGGAAAGGTGAACGAACCAGTTATTTGCGACACCTCCAACTTTGAATCGCGCTGCTTCGGAGTTACTTCCACAAGCAAATATCAACTCGCCGTTGGCTTCCAAGCGACAACAAAGCTAAACATCCTGTATAGTCTCTAGCGATAGACAGCGACAGACGCGACCGAAGCCATATTCTTCAGATTTCGTTGCAGCAGTCAATTTTTGCGCTACTTCGGCCAACTCAGTTCCAGTCCGGCGTTATTCGCAAAGACAGCCTAACTGGAGGTTACATGGATTGCCGGGTTGGTGTCTCTTGATGTGCAGATATTCTTTTATTGTAGGGATGTTCAAGCGCTTCTAGAGCTATGGTCTTAGAGAAGCAATCATAATAGGCGCCTATTTCCATCGGCAAACGTTATCGTAACCTTTTGCTCTAGGCGTCAACTTCAATGCATGACTCTTGTGGAGAAATTCTTGGATTCTGTATCGTTGGGCTATGTGAAGGTTTTGCGGGGGCTTGTCTTGATTTTGCATCCGTTCGTGCGTGTTCAACATATTTAATTTTATCTGACAACTCACTAGTTTACATTATCCAGGTCATTCATGTACAGAGAGTTGCGGCTTATGTTGTTCTGATACTTCTTCGTGCTGCTCTTGCGGCTTCTCCTTCAAAGGAGATCCAAATCATCCGGACGGTTTGCAGGAGGGCGCATCTGAGCGCAGGCCTTTACTCGGAAATTCCACCCAAATCGACGTTCAACCAGAGTCACATCCTCCAATGAAAGCATAGGACTCGGAGGTTTTAATCATGTATAGTAATCTTCGCTTGCTTTGGTGCGTCAAGATATGTGCGAAGTTATGGGTCTACTAATGGGATCCTTCAGATGTCATTATCCTCTTGTATACGATATGTATCTATATCTTTAAATACGTCTGCTCAGCCCCGCCCTTTGCTATCCAACTGCTATCTGTCGTGTGTGACATGCGAAGTTCAAAGGTCAAACGATTGCCTTGCGGTTGGAAGCTATACCTTCGTCCGTTATCATGTGGTCCAGGACAATCTTCTCTTCGAAGTCTTCGTGACTTCGCGACCATATGGTTCATTTTATGTGATATGTTTATTTTCGGCCGCTCCACCCAGGACCATATATAAGACTGTTTCGTGTCGGGTGGCCTTGACCTTTTAGCCATAACTGATCTTCTCCGCGCGATGCTCATATCGCCAGCTTCATCACTATGGGCACTTTCGTTGGCGTCAAGCTGGGTTTACAATGGTGTATCTGCCCAGACTTGGTTAGTACTGACCATAGCGGTCTCTAGATTCATCAGCTCATGAGAGATGCTATCTAGGTGTGGCAAAAACTATATGATCACAGAGCCGGTGACGGATCCGGGTGCACCTCAAGTTTCTTCCCTGCCTATCGTACAGTATTGACCTTTCCATTTGGGTTCTTAGGTGGCCAGTTTCCGATTTCTCTCACATTCGCTGAACCTCATCTCGCCCTGCGATGCGGTCCCGCAGTGAAACCATATCTACCCGAGGATGTTGATTCCCATTTGACCGATCCTACCTTTACTTCAATCCTGCTGGATACACCGGTGACATTCACCAATATTTCCGGCGCTACTGTTCTCTCAAATGCATCAAATTCAACCAGTCTTTCCAACCTGAGCCTGGACGTGAAAGTTCTCTTAGACGGCAAAACCCTCACATCCGGTTCAGTCCCACTCAACACTTCTAAACATACACTGCCGTTCTCCCTTTCCACTCTGACTCCACGGACGGACGCTTACAACGTGACATGTATTGGTTTGTTGCCCACAGGAGAACAGGTCCTTGGCTCGTCCTTGTTGACGTTCCTTCCTGAAAAGCCAGACGGGATCGGCGGAGTAACGAAAATGGATATGAGGTCTGGCGCGCTGCTAGCAAAACCTCCCACTGGGGAAGATGGTCCGTACGAAGGAATTTTTCCGATAGGATTCTATACGCAGTATGGATCGTACCTTGCAACGAATCTATCAATTTCGGGTGTTTTAAAGGAACAAGGGTGCGTTTTTCTGTTGTTCATATCGAGGATATTTAGGTCTCAATATGAGAGTTCTTTTTTTTTTTTTTGCTCGAATCTAGCTTTACTGTTGTATGTATCGCAAATCTCCTTCAAGGCTATCTACAGATTTCAGTTCCTTCCTAGGTCCATCCTGTTCCGGATTTCGATAATGTCACTGTCCTCGATGAAGTGCTGGACAAGATGCAGGAAGCTGGTCTGTGGTTGATGTATGATATGAGAAAGTGTGTGTACAATCTATTTACTGGTTCAAGGCTAATCTACATATCCATTCAGCACGTACCAAAACTCAACCTCCGTGACCGAACAAGTCAACCACATCAAATCACGTCCCAACCTCCTCTTATGGTACACCGCCGACGAACCCGATGGTACCTCCGACCCTCTTAATGCGACCGCTCTCACAAAAAACTTAATCAATACTCTCGATGGAGGAGACGGCCAAGGCGGAGCAGGATACCACCCAGTCTCCCTCGTGCTGAACTGCGAGAATTATTTCTGGTCAGAATACTCAAACGGAGCAGACATCCTATTGCAAGATACTTATATGATTGGGAATAATGTGACGTTCTCGAATCAATGGGGGACGGCATGTACGGTCGATTACGGAGATTGTGGGTACGTTGTGATTCTTTTCTTCTTCATTTCTGGTGATATTGACCTCAATCGCGATTTATGTGTTCTGTTATTAGGTGCGATAACTGCAAAGGCAGCTTTGCAGACATCTCGACGAGGATGGACGAGTTTTACGAGAGGGCCTTCATCGAAGGGTGGGAACTAGAGAAGGTCGTGTGGACAGTGCCTCAAGGATTTGGGAATGATACGTGCGTTTGATTAGCCTTTTAATCATTTCCTTCCAAAACCTAACCCCGGTAATCCAATAGATATTGGACGAGATTTCCAACCGGTGAAGAATGGGTAGTTCAAAGTATTGTTGGAATCAACCATGGCGGATTAGGTGGCTAATTCTTCCTGGACTTCCTTTGAATTGAATCCGATTTCCTTTCAGGCGTAGTCTCATGGGACGACCCTACCCCGGATGACATCAAAGCCTCCGCTTCCTCACTCGCTAAGGCTCTCACATCCGGCTCATCTCCCTTAGCCGCCTTTATCCTCGACCCATTCACAACCTTCAGACAAGTGACTACTCAAACTGGTATCGACATCGGTTTGTGGACACTGGACGGCACCACGCTTATGCTTGCTGCGAATATGAATTATGAGAATGCCACGATAGAGGCTGCGGAGCTCGGCTTGGGTAAAGGGAATGATGGTTTCGGAGGTGGTTTGAAGAAGGTGTTTTGCAGTGGAGTATGTGATGCTAGTGATTTGAAAAAAAGTGTTATCGTGCTAGGAAGTGTTTCATCTGGGGCGTTCATTCTGGCTTGAATGATGATAATGTAACGCTGAAGCTTAAGGCGCTATAGCCAAGTGGTTACGGCGACAGATTAGAAGAGTTTCTAAGAGTATCTGTTCCTCTTTGAGGGCGCAGGTTCGAATCCTGCTGGCGTCGTTCGTACTTTGTGAAATTGTCGTTTTTGATCTCTAGTTGACTTTGCGAATTAACGCTTTAACTGCTCAATAACAGCGGTTGCCTTTGCCAATGTTTTTATTTTTGTGATACTCTTGTCAAGCTACATTGTTCATTCGGCAAATCAGGAAGACGAAAGCAACAGCGAATATTCTCTTGGACTACATTTACATTTACATTGATTGCTCTTCTTTTTTTTAAAACATTTCCTACTGTGCATCGCCTCGTAGATAGTGGAGAACCTCTTCTACTTCTGGAAATCGAGGAGAAAAGCGACACTGAAAATTTGGTATCGGACTAGACCAGAATCAGCATACAGAAACAAGGAGTAATTGAAGAAAGCTCTACTTCAAGAGATCTTTAGAGGGTCGATTAAGCTCAGAGTCTATCGAGACGACAGGTTCGACGCATAGTGCCCACAAAATGGTACATATATCGATGAACAGTGCGTTGTCGGCGACATGACGCCCCACGCAGACTCTGAGAGAGCAGTGAAAATTAGAAGAGAAAGGGGGAAGAAAACGAATTCACCTTCTCCCAAATCCATAAGCGCAATGTCCATCGTCGGTTTCGAATTCATCCCGGAACACAAACCCAGATTCCTTGTCGGAGGGTTGAAGAAATCGTTCTGGGCGAAACTCGTCGGCATCAGGACCGTATACATCATTATCGCGGTTCATTGACCTGGAGTAACAGTTATTATGATTACTACGAGGTTAATCAAGGTAAAATAGGCTTACCACACATTCGGTATGCACGATGTGCCTTTAGGAATGAAATAGCCTTTGTACCAATCGTCCTGATTGATATAAAATAGTGAATTATGGAAGAATACCTTTGATAGCGGACACACCTCCATTGATATATGGGGAACAGCAAGTGGTATTGCAGGCTGCCATCTCAAAACCTACACAACGTGTAACAAATCAATATCGGATAGAATATTGTGCATTACGACTAAACAGCTTCGGGACGAACCTCTTTTACAATTGCTCTCACATATTGAAGATGTTCCATATCAGCAAAAGTTGGATTCCGTGATCTTCCCACAACGCGGTCTATCTCGGCCTGAGCATGCTGTTGAACATTTGGATGGAGAATCATAGCGTAGAGAAAAAATGATAAGGTGGTGCTGGTCTGATCACCACCGCAGAAAAAAAAAAATTAGCATAATGATATTTGCAACAGTTACACAAGACGCACAGTTTCCAGAGCAGCAACACTGAAGTTGAGGCATAAAATAGTTAGGATCGGGAGTTCTGGGGGCATTCATATCAATACATACGAAAGGGACCCCGCGAGCCAAGCCTTCTCTATATCAGTTAAGCCGCTCGCGATTTCATTGTCCGCTAGACGAACACAAAGACTCGTCCGCTGCTGGTCATTTCGCACCTTTCCAACATGAAGTCAGATCCTCCTTGGCATTACACAAAGCTGCGGAATAATCACAGTGTCATTGAAATATCTCTCGAAGATATCTGATATCCGCTTGAAGTCTCGTTGAGCATCCCTCTTCCACTTTACTATCGCCGTAGGAAGATAATCCAATATTGGAAACACTTCTACAAGGTAAGCACCTGGATATACGGCGTTGGTGAATCGATGTGCGATGTTGGCGAGGGTCTGGAGCGGGTCTGAGGTAAGATGAAGTTTCTCGTGGACTCGAGGTGCTTGTGATTGGGGGACGCCATCAAATTCTTGCTCTGGCTTCCCCAACGAAAGAGATCGTTTACCGTATATGACGGAGATTATGGTTGAAGCAGACCTAATATAGACTAGAAGATTAAGGATGGTGGGAACCACTGCATCCGCACCTATTAATTTTCGCAAGTAACGGGGAAGAGGTGTTGCAGAGCAAACTATGAGTAAGTATGATTGCTTCTTCGATCTGAACAGGCTGATATTGTGCACTAATTCTAGCGTTCAGGACAGCATGACCTGCACGGCGCATGCTTTGCCATCTACACACGATAGTCCAAATATAGAACATTGAATTTATAACACCACACAGAACACGTACGATTTTCCATATCTTGTAAACGGCATAGACAACTGGCTGCCGAGGTAATCTGCGACAATACTTCTTGACCGATCAGAGTAGATGGCAGATCGGTGCTCCAAAAGCTCTGTGGCCGCAGCTTTAGTGTTGAGAACTACGATGTCCTGTCCAGCCATATTCAAATACATGACAGGACCTATTGTAAAGATCCGAAGTGGATTGTCAGCTTGGGACAAAATATAGAAGACCGACCTACCATATTGATATTTCCACTTGTCAAAAGTAAGCCACATTTGCGAAGAGGCTGCTAGTTGAAGAACGTTCCCCAAGATAGGTAACCCTCGCGGACCGGGAGGCAGTCGTTTCCGTTTCCAGGCATCAAGTACCATTCGAGAGATCAGCAGAACAAAAGCGACAAGGCTCAAAATGAATGGGAGCTTCATTGAATCTGTATCTTCAAGGGAGACCCAAATCAGAGTACAGAGAAGTCAAGCTTGTCTTCCCGAGCAAAGGACGTATCTCTTATAAGCAGCTCCTCTTCTGATTGAGTTCAAATCTGACATCGTATAGAAAAGTACGACCGTGTACACGTTTCGGGGCTTTAATCGGTTCAAGCGGCGTGAGCAATTGAAGGTAAACCGGGGAAGATACGCTCTAAGAAGCGGATGAGGTTGCCAAATTAGAAGTCCCCCGTCGGCTGCAGGGTATCACTAGCTGTAGATCTAGGAACTTTCCTCTATCCACCTACATTTGATCTCGAGTGTTGCTAATGGATACGTCTGTCTACAAACCGCAGCGACAAAGCTCCAGTGCGAGAGTTTTCCTTTGAAAAGGAGGACGCAGATCCTTTGGACGTCGCTACCTCGGTGAGATCTGACAAGTTATCCAGAAACAACTCGAGAGCCATTGATGGTGCTGAGCGAAGACATTGCCTAAGAATTCGCAACTCGTAGTTATAGTACTCGCTAGTCACAACGGGAAGGCAGCTGGCGTCATTCGGGACACCCTCGATGTCGATAAAATCATGAAGCTTTGACGATGGTGGCGGTCTGGACGACAACCTCAAGTGCGAATACCTGGGGATGGCACGTGGTGGTCTGCGGCGTTGGGCTGGGATAATAAAAGTCGCTGGGCAAAGCTTTTGCAACTTTTAGCCACCAAACTTACTTATGCAACACCTTTGGAAGAAATGTCAAAGCCAGGTGTCGCTGGTCCAACTGATGCGCTTGAACCCGCTATTGCAAGGCTTGGGGAAAGCACTGTACTGTATAAAAGCCTGGCCGACGTTTGGATCGACATTGCATCCCCAGATTAGCTCTTTCGAGTTCACGCTTCATATCTACCATCTGCTGACCACAGTTGCTCACCATGTTATTTGCATATTCTGGAAGCGATCTGATCATTTCCGAGGAAGATTACTTGAGCCTCTTCGCCGATGTGAACCCAGAGGGCTCTGCAAATATCAATGAGTGTGTCCTTTTCAGATGCTCGTTCTCCCCGACTCTAGCTGATTTTTGCACTCGATAGTCTCGCTTCTCATCCCAAAAAGAGCTATCAGTTTACGCTGGTCGATGGTACAAGCTCCCTAACTCCCTCGGCCATTTCAAACTCTCCTCGAGTCTTCCATTTGGTCAAGACAAATTCAAACGGCAGCCGCTATTCTGAAAAGCTTGTGTATTGTCAAGAGCACTTTGAGGATAACTCCGAACCCTCCCCAACTTCTACATCCGGGATGGCAAGACAAGAACTTGGACTCAGAGAGGACGTTTCTGATTCTAATCTCAATTCGGATAATCTCTCCAGCTCTGTGACCACGCGATTTCTGAAAGGAATGCCAGAGCAAGAATCGGATTTCGCATGGAACAACATCAACACTTCCATCGCACCTGGATCTGATTTCGACGCGTCGTCCTGGAGCATGGACAACCAGCAGCAACATCAACAGCCTGATTGGGCGACCCTCGAAAGCTCGAGCTCAACTACCTACGCATTTTCAACAGTTTTCGCTGCGACTCTGAATCCAATGTGATCAAATTGACAATCCTCATTTCATGCTCAATTATACTCAACCAGTGCTCAAATCGCTAGTTTCTTTTGACATCCATGCCCTCGTTTCTACTTCTATGTATCCTATGTGTTCTACTTCATTCATTCTGTCGCCTCATACAGTCTTTGCGTATTGTCAATACCTGTACAATCGATCCAGTTGCTCATTCAATTCAGAAGTTAACCGGCCCTAAACAACCTTGCGTAACACCCAAAGCGGTCAAATTTTTTTTCTTGGCTTCCTACTTTCATGTTTTCTGCCTTTTTTTAAAAATCACGGTTATCTTTCCGAGCTCGCACGACGCAGGCAGCATCCTCCACTGAAAGTAACTGTCGCTCGCATCCCAATGGTGGCTGCGTAGTGTTGAAGGGACGGTGCTGGAGTAGTAGGATTCAAGTTCGTTTCTCTTTTTTATAACCCTTGCTTCTTTTCCTCTGCTCCTCTCAAGGATGAAATATTTCAAAACAGTTATCCCTGTCTTAATGACCTATGTCGACAACTTTTCTTCAACCTTCTGATTTTCTTTCGCCGTTGTCGTGTTCGTTTCTTGTATACTGTCTATTCTAATATTGCTTATGATTAGACATGTTGGCCTAACAATAAGGCCATTCGTGCTCGTCTTCGAGGATTGTCAAGTAGGTCTCGTGCATCCCAAGGCCTATCGTAATTTCCGGTTCGTGTTCTCTCCCATTGGCGTCTTCTTCTACACCATTGGTTACGCTCAAGAAAGCATGATGAAATATATCCTATTCAGTTATCCCTGTCTTAACATCCATGTCGAGACTTTCTGTAACACTCCTGATATGTTCTTTCCTCTTCCATCACACTTTGAACCCTTCCTTTCAACTACATGGATGCTTATATAATTATTCGTGCATTTAACAGGCCGCGACTGCTTAGAAATGTTTTCCATTGTGTCGTATCGATCTTTTATAA